GAGGTACTTTCTAGACAGTTTTAAAGCCATCCTATGAACTTGCTAGGAAATTCCATAGCTTCCCATGCATCAAACAGATAGCCCCAATCCACACTATCAAAGGCCTTCATTATATCCCCTTTAGCAGCACATCTAGAGGAGATATTTAATTATCTGCCATACAACTTAACCATTTCATGCGCCAAAACGATATTATCACTGATCATTCTCTCTTTGATGCAGGCAGACTGATTATGACTAATAATAGAAATCAGGACCTCTCTAAGTCTACATGCTATGGATTTAGAAATGCATTCATAGAAGAAATTACAACATGAGATAGGCCTATACGGTTTCATGGTATCATGATTAGGAATCTTTGGCATAAGAGCTATAATTGTGTTATTTCCCTCCTTGAGCAACCTTCCTGATAATAAGAACTTTTGGACAACCAGATTACTCACCACAGACCAATTTTCGTGAAAGAATTCGGATGAGAATCCATCTGGACTCGGGGCTTTACCTCTAGCCATACCAAACACTATCTTCCTGACTTCCTCAGTTGTAACTGGATCACAGAGAAAACCAACATCTTCTGGTAAACGATGCATCAATATCCTCTTTATCATGCTTACTGGATATTTCCTGACCCCTGGATCTATCACTCCCAGTCCCAGTCCCAGAAGCCCTTCGTAAAATCAAACTGCCTCGACCCCTATTTCCTCAACATCTGTAAGTAGACGACCATCTTCAGCAACAAGTTGTCTTATTGTATTCCTGTTGTTCCTATCCCTAATTGGAAATGATTGATGTCGAACTTAAGACAACAAACGCACCACCGCACGAGATAGTCCCTAAATCATAAACAAGAAACCTTAATATCGACATGCAAACCAACAAAACATATCTTACCTTCGTCGTCGTTGTCATCATCATCCTCGATATCCATCGTCGTCAATTTGCACCATCGAGAGAAGTCGTCACATCATCGCGACTCCGACCATTGAAGCTCCGACCGAAGAGATGAGAGAAGAGAGAAGATCTCTTGAGCTGATGGCTTCACCATCAGAGAAGACAGATAAGATATTAGAAGGGAAGAAAGGGTGTTCGTTATCTTCAGTTACAGTGGAAAAAGAGGGTTAGGTACTTAGGCGGCCTTGCTATTATAGGTGTCAATCGGGCGGGTTCGGGCTGGGTTCAATCGGGTTCGGGCTCAAACGGGTTGCGGGTTAGTCGGGTTGCGGGTTCATCGGGTTCAGGTTCAAACAGGTTGCGGGTTAGTCGGGTTGCGGGTTCATCGGGTTCGGGTTCAATCGGGTTGCGGGCAAATCGGGTTGTGGGTTCATCGGGTTTTGGGTCGGGCGGGTTGCAGGCGGATCGGGTTTCGGGTTGTTCGGGCCAGCGCATCAAGTAACTTAACTCATTACTCATTACCAACTTACACATTTTATTATACTAATTCAAAATATTTTCTCAACTTTTTAACCAATTTATTTCTACCTCGTATATATATATATATACTTTATTTTTTTGAAAAAAACTAGTCAAAATATTAAATCAATTTGTATGACTTGCAAACTTGTTATGTAATTAATCATAATTGGTAAAGTGTTATAGCTAATAGTAATAGTGATATCAATATTTGCAACCAAAAATCAACATTAATTGTTTATTTGATATTTTAGTATTAATTCAGTAGTAATTGGATTAAAGTATCTCGTTTAGTATAACCATGCAAATATGATATTTGGCAAAAGCATAGTGATAAAAGGAGTTATTTCGAAATAACTCATTGCCCAAATAACTTCAGTAAACTGTTGCCAAACGAGTTATTTGTAAAATTGTTCGAATTATCCTAAAAATTGAACCATTAAAGGTTAGCTATCAAATTTAGTAAAATTATTGTGAATTCAATCATAACTTACTCAATAGCATATATCCTATACACTTAGCATTACCCTCAATCAACAATATTAAGTTAGTATATGTTGTTGATTTTATACCCTAAACCATCAATACATTATACACTAACCACATAACCTATACCCTATAACCTAACCATATGTCTTTGAGTTGTGATTTTGCTAGTATAGTTATTTAAAAGTGAAATTCATACTTTGATTTTCAAAACATAGATAAAAAGTTATATTTGCTAATTGTTAACCCTAACCATATATCCTATATTTTACACCACATACCTTGTACCCTAACCACGTACCATAAACATAATTTAAAAAGGGATCTCCTGCTGTTAAAGACTTCAAATGACTTCAAGTGAACATTTGTTAATAAAAAACTTAGAACCGTCAAAACCATCAATATCTTATACCCTAACCATATACACCCTAAACCATATGTACCTTATACCCTATACCCTAACCATATACTTTATATCCTAGACAACGAACCGTCAAAGATTACTTATCAAGTTTAGTATAAATTGTTGTAACTAATGGTTAATTTATTTATTAGCCCATAAACAATTGCATACATATATATATTAGCCTTCAAAGCATATAAGAATAATTTTAACTAGTCATGCCCTCCATATGAAAGTTAAAGATTCATATTTCAAAAGCTAAAATTATGAAAAACCAAAAAATTGAAAACACCAAATTTGTTTCCTTCTTTCTTTTCACAAAAATACTAAAATTTCCCTCCTTCTTTCTACTTCCATACATTAGAAAACTCAATTTTCCCTCCTCTTTCTCTTCCATAAAATTGAAAGAACAAAATTACCCTCATCTTTCCTTCTACAAAAAGTTGAAAACTCAAAAGTTTCCCTCCTTATTTCTCTTTCATAATCAAAAGAATCAAACTTTCCCACTTCTTTCTCTTCCCACATATCAAAACCACCAAAATTCACACTTGTTTCTTTTCTAAAAAATTCAAAGAACCAAATTTCCCTCTACTTTCTCTTCCCAAAAACTTGAATACACCAAAATTTCCCACTTCATTTAAAAAATAAAATTACCAAATACATTACTTTACTTTATTTATATTTAATTGATAATTTTATTGAATAGTTAAATTAACCAAAATTTTAATTTATATATTATATTAATATTGTCATGATCTCAAGTGACCTTCATGTTTCAATTTTTGTAATATTCTTAAAATACGTAATATCAAGTGAGTTTCATATTTTTTAAATTTCCTATACGAAATGAAAAAATAATTTTACTTAAGTTTAGAATGAAAAACTATGTATTGTATATTTTTATAATTATTCAAGTGGATTAGATGAAATTCGGGTTAAGTCGGTCGGGTTACGGGTTAGTCTGGTTCGGGTCAATCGGGATCAGGTTAATCGGGTTGCGGGTCAGTTGGGTTGCGGGTCAATCGGGTTCGGTTAATCGGGTTGTGGGTCAGTCGGGTTGCGGGTTAGTTGGGTTGCGGGTCAATCGGGTTGCGGGTCGGGCGGGTTACGGGTTGTTGACTTTTAGTCAATTCGGGTTGCGGTCGGGTTGCGGGTCGGGTTGATCGGGCGGGTTAATCGGGTCGGGCTATGTTTTGACACCTATACATGCATAGTGAATTAGGGTTTAGAATAGAAGTTTTATACCTCGTCCCCTAGCATGTTTACCATTTTTCAATTCTTGAACTTTTTTAGCGAGCTGATCAAGATGGAGGTAACAGGGGGTTCATGGAAGCCGATCAAGTTGTCTAGTAATGGCCCGTCTCTGTCGCACCTATTTTTTGCAGATGATTTGATTCTTTTTGGTGAAGCCTCGCAAGAGAAGATTGACGTCATTCTCAGGTGCTTTGAGCGATTTGGTGCGGCGTCAGGTCAACAAATAAGCAAGCCGAAATCCCGAGTTTACTTTTCGCGGAATGTGACGGCAGCAAGGAGTTAGGAGCTGAGCTCATCTCTAGGGATCCCCTCAACGAACAATCTGGGTAGATACCTGGGAGTCCCGGTCATTCATGATCGAGTGTCCAGGAACACCTTTACAGCTCTCATTGATAAGATTGATGCTAGATTGGCTGGGTGGAAGGCGGCGAGTATGTCTCTAGCAGGGCGGATTACACTGGCTCAAGTTGTGCTCTCTTCTCTTACAGCTTACACCATGCAGACGAAACTGCTACCGGCCAGTGTCTGGAATTATATAGACAGAAATATTCGAGCTTTTGTCTGGGGAAGTACGGAAGCAGGGAGGAAGATTCACCTTATTGATTGGGAGACAATCTGTCGACCGAAAGATGAGGAAGGGTTGGAATTCGCAGTGCAGAGAGAATGAACGACGCCTTTATGCTAAAAATCGTATGGAGACTAATGACGGAGACAGAGAGTTTATGGGTCCGGGTGATCAGAGTTAAATACATGTCGCAAGCGGCGGACGGCTATGTCCCACGAAGAACGGGCATGTTGTCGAACTTGTGGAGAGGTGTGATAAGGGCGATGCATTTGATTCCGGAGGCAACTTTGTGGACGATTCAGAGTGGAGGGAAGGCATTATTCTGGCATGATTGGTGGCTGCAGGACGGCCCTCCCCTGGCGGAATATGTAGGTGAGTTACCGGAGGAGGCAAGTAACTTAAAAGTGGCCGAACTGAGCCTCAATGGGAATGGAACGTAGCGTACATGAGAGCCTTCCTCCCAGAAAGTGTGGTGGCACAAATTCAACTACATCCTGTTCCCACAGGAACAGAGCATAATATTCCTGTTTGGAGACTTACGTCGAACGGGAAATTCAGTCTTAAGACAGCCTATGACCTCACGGATGAGGAAGAAAGACCGGGGGGCAAGCATCCAGTGTGGCGAGCGGTCTGGAGGATCCCGGCTACGCAAAGAATTCGGGCTTTCTTCTGACTACTAGTGCACGACAGGCTGCTCACCAATTTGAGCGTGTACACCGACACTTAAGCCCGTCGAAAGCTTGCCCGATTTGTGATCATGAAGAGGAAAGCTCCCTCCATGTGGTGCGTGAGTGCTCTTTGGCTAGAGCGGTTTGGGCGGAACTCCTAGGGGACGAACGCGATCTACTCGAGCGAATTGATGCAGCATCTCCGGCACGGGCTATGGGAACTGACGCTACACCGCGCAGACAGAAAAAGGATATCAGCTGGGAGCGTCCTCCGCAAGGCTGGGTTGCTCTGAACTCGGATGGATCAGTGATCAATGGCCAGGCAACAGCGGGAGGGGTTATAAGGGACGAGACTGGGCGACTAGTCAGAGCATTTTCGATGAAGTTAGGCGAGGCATCCATTACGAGAGTGGAACTAGAGGGATTGGTGAAGGGATTACAAGTTGTGTGGAACGAGGGGTTCAGACGCGTCATGGTACAAACAGACTCGCAGACTGCCATCAAGCTCATTAAGGAATCCGATAATCGGCATCCCCATTTCCGCTTGGTGCAAGAAGCACGTCGTTTGCTGGCACTCAATTGGCAGGTCCAGCTGCTACATATCTACAGAGAGGGCAACTTTTTTGCCGATTACTTGGCCTCGGTAGGCCATCAACTCCAACAGAGATTCCATTTCCTTGAGGCGCCGGACCCAATGTTAAATTACTGGCTGTACTTCAATTTGATTGGGGTGGAAACATCCCGTTTGGTTACTTGTTGACGGTTGGTGTGCCCGTAGCACTCCTTTTTCCCACAAAAAAAACTCATTTTAAGTTATTATAATAATTTACTGTCGAAATAACCCATTTCGGTAAAATGATGTCCAACGAAATATTTGTGTCCAAATAACTATCATCATAAAAAAAAAACTTACAAATAACTCATACAAATACTCCATTCAAACGACCCCTAACTATTTTCTTATCCTTCTCTGGATCACATCACAATATTTATATTGATCAAACCTATGGTGCATAACTTGCAGAATCAAATCTGCACTCTTTCTTTTAAGTAGGCTCCAGACTAAAAGTTGAAAATTAAAGACATTTTTCCCTAGCTTTCTAATTGACTTTTATTTTCTTCGTTTTAACTTGTGTTATAAATTATTTTACACTAAGCGAACGAGTTCGTTATGCTCTACAAAGTGATATCAATTTTTAATATTTAAAAAAAGAATATATATACCTCTTGTTACCAACTCCATACCATATGGTATCTTCTTCGTTTTAAGTCGTTTTTTAAAATATTTGCACAGAAGTAACGAGTTCATCGTGATCTATTGGATCTACAAATTTCTGTGGGGTGGGGGGGTGAATACAGGACCAAAAAATAGCACCACATACCACCTTAGTATAGATCGTAAATGACTCGCTAAAACACAACAACTAAACTGCGACCAAGTGTAATCATAGTTTGGAAATGCAGTATAGTGGGATCAAGTAATAAAAGTCAACCCATGCCCTACATGTACTGCCTACTCCATGATTATCTATTATCTAGCGGGGAAAGTTTAGTGAGAATGAGTTTAAACTAAACAGAAATAAAGCAGTAAATTGTCTGGTTTTCTTAAGCAATTGAGTCCCCCTAGATCCTTAGTTAGGTTCAAGTTGTAATTCTCTTTGGTTTATTCACTGTTGATTAGACTGCGGAAGTTCCGAAAGTAACTTGGAATCTCTTAAGCTGACCAAGCCCTCTTAGTCAGAATACTTGGCAGGCGACTAGCCTTCACCGGAATAGACTGCTAAGGCGATTCACACAGAACTCCACTACTAGAAACATATTCCAGTACAAAGCAGTGGATTGACTGACTCTCGTATAATCAATTCACTCTCATCGAATGAAGAAGCTCTAACAACCTAATCAGATTCTATTTATCTTAGGTTAAAGCAGAAATCAAAAGAAGTTGATCAGGATTCAATTGACTCAAGAAACACACTTCAATCAATTAAAACCAATCAATATAGCATCCCAAAAGTCATTACAATCAGGATCCCTAACACATGGAACTAGGGTTCTTCATACCCAAGCAAGAGAAAGTTCTACTCCCTAGAGAGAGAGAGAGAGAGTGAGGAAACAGAAATCAAGCAGTCATACTCATAAAGATTGGAATAATCGGCTATAGGATGTCAATCTTCACTCCCGGAGAGGCAATCTGGGCTTCAATGGTGAGAAATCCACTCCAAATTGCTCCTAGGATTTGTTCTTCGTCACTTTCTCTCTCTAGAACTCTGTTTTTTATCCAAAAAGTCGAATCCCCTTCCTTTGGCTCGAATCTGCCTCTTCAACCCAATTCTGGGCGAAATACGGGCAAGAATACGGGCGTATTCTTCTTTTGCCCGTATTTCGTCCAAAATGCACGTTTTGCTTAAGTCTCAGCGCAGAGAAATACAGTCGCGATAGGGAAAATACCGTCAGTATTCATGGAATAACGGTTGTATTTTATCCCCATCAGGCTGTATTTTGGATCTCATCAGAAATCTCTAAGGGCTCCTCTCGGCAGTGAAATTACGTGCTAGTCACTGAGGAATACGATCGTATTTTTGTAAATACTGGCTGTATTTTGTACCTGAGCCATCACAAGGCTCGACATAAGAACCACCGGCAGGCTCTATACAAATTACGGCCGTAATTCTGTAGGGGAAAACGGTATTTTGCACCCAGAATCGCCAAATGATATCCAAACGATCCGAAACTTGCGTCATTGGCTTCCTTTACCAGTAGGACCTGAAATGTGACAAAGTAACACAACCTAGCGTAAACAATAGGCCAAGGAACCACAAATTCGAGCTAAAATGGTCAAGAAACAAGGGTGCAACCATGTGCAAATACGATGCTATTAAATTCCCCCACACATAACTGTTTGCTTGTCCCCAAGTGAACCACCAAGTCAAATACAAGGTAAGCTCAAAACATTTATCATGCAAACTTTTTTTTTATATAAGAGTGATATATGTTACTTATTTTTTGTTTAGGTACTACTGAAGGGATTCGAAATTGGGACCTCCGGATTCAAGGCAAGTGGTATTACCACTAGAACAAACCTTTGTTCGTATTTATCATGCAAACTTTGGGGACATATCATACAGCCACAAAACATGTGAATCATACTGGCTTTTAGACATCAACACATGAACAATCTCAACGACAACCTAGACAACCACCACAGATGACATTCGAGTGCATCAAAATCGGGTAGAGGAAGAGTCTCCCTACTATTCACCGACCAACATAGACTTGACTCAACCACTCATCCAAAACAGTCACCCATGCATGAAATTCAAGACATCAGAATCAAGACCGAGTAGTCTAGGTCCTCATTGATGTAAAGATTGTAAAGAATATAAGGAAATGAATCGCTCACTCTCGACATGTGGGGTCAGGACAATTTGATGCGAAAAATGTGCATGCTTATTCTCTCAATCCTAACTCTCTTCACCATGATGGTAGCCTCTAAATGCCAGAGTTCTGACAGACCATTGATTGTACATGTTTTTACCCCTGTTCTTGAGCCGTTGGAGATGTTGATTCTCATGTTTTAAGCCGATTTCATGCTAGGTTGTGTGTTTATGTCATATTTCAGGGCTTGGCGTTGACGTTGAGGCGAAGAAACGAGTTTCGGGTCAAAAGGGAGGACGTTTGAGTTGAAGGGTGCTGGAGGAGCAAAATACCCGGCCATGATCAAAAATACACAGCCGGGTAAAATTCCTTGGAGACCGGGGAAAGCGCTTTTGGACGTGAGAAACAGAATGGGTCCCGGCCAGTAAGCGAAAATACCTGGTCGGGTATTCTTGACCGCGACCGGGTATTATCACCTGTGCTTGTGCGCTGCGTTTAGAAATCCCAGGTCGGGCACCCGAAATACCCGACCGGGGATTATGACCGGGGATTGCGTCCTGTTGGTTTTTAAGGGGAAGAAGGCTGATTTTTGAAGGGTTCTGAGTTTTAGAGAAAGAAAGTGATACCTAGAGAGAGAAAGCGACGAACCAGAGTTCCCAAGCGCCTTAGATCGATCTGCATCATGAGTGGAGCTCGGATAACGCTTGGAGAAGTGCCGATTGCCATCCAGAAGCAGAACCCCATCCTTCACAGCATGATTTCTCCTTCTGAGATAGAGTTTGCTTCTGTCTCCATGGAGTAACTTCCACATTCACCTGGGTATGAAGAACCCTAGATTTGTATGTTAGGTCTGATTGTACGAACCCGAGTATGAATCAATTGATTTGATTAAATTCAATTGAGGTATGATTTGTTGAATGGCATGAATCCTGATCAAATTCCTGTTGTTTCTGCTTTGACCTAGAAATAGAATATCTGCCTAGGTTGATAGAGCACCCTTGATTGAAGGTAGTGAATTGACGACTTTAGTCGAGGAGTCAATTCACTATTCTGTACCGGATTTACTTCGGTAGTGGAGGTTTAGTTCGTTAGGGCCTCAATCTGTTTACTCCGGTGGAGGTTAGTCGACCGCTGGGGACTCAGATTGAGAGTGTCTGGAGACCTTTAGTCGAGACTGCAGACTGCATAAGAACCTCCCGCAGTATGACTATCTTTGAGTTCAAACTTGGTAAATTAAAATCTGGCTTAACTACAGTCTAGGGGGAACCATATCCGGGTGACCTCTCTCAACTTGAAAACAACCTTTTATTGCTTTGTCTGTTTGTTTGCTTGGACCTTCACTACACTTTCACTGCTAAATAATAAGAATTCACAGAGTAGTTATCACACTTAGGACCCGGGTTGACATTAAAACCCAAACTCGCTATACTAAGCTCTAGTAGGTGGTTACACTTGGCCATTTTCTAGTGTGACGGTAGAAGCGAGTCAAGTTTTTGGCGCCGTTGCCGGGGAGTGCTAGGTTGTTGAAGAAACGTGATTTCTATTACTTTGGCATTTCCATTTTTGCATTGACTGTTTTTTTTTTTTTACTTGTGCCTTCACGGGTTTGCTTGCTTGACTGTGTGCAGGTAGTGCATGACTGGTAGTCAGTCGGGAGGTTTACTGCCGTTAGATCCGAAGCTTGAACGCACCTGTCGCCAACTAAGGAGACAACAGCGAGCTAGACTGGCTACAGAGGAGCGCATTGACGACCACTTGAGAAGCGATTCTGAGGAAAAGTACGAGATGGATGGTGCACAAAACCCACCCCAGGGGATGCCTCTCCAGGTTCCCCAAGTGAATCAAATCCTGGGGAACAACCAATACCCCAGGCAGATTGGGTTCAGCATCAACCACCGCCGCCGGGTCCCAGCATGGAGTATTATTACACTCCACGGATCGCTGACATCCGCCCCGTCATCCTCTATCCACTCATTCTAGCGAACAACTTCGAGATCAAGCCATGCTGGATTCAACTGATCACATCCTCTATCCAGTTTCATGGCTTGAAGGATGAGGGAAGGGTGCATCTTTCCCTGTTCCTACAGCTGACAAACGGGTTTAAGATGAATGGTTTACCCGATGATGCGATCCGTCTTCAACTCTTCCCCCATTCTCTGGCGGGGCATGCGAAGAGGTGGTTGGAGACCAAGCCCCCACTATCCATCATATCTCTTGGGATGATCTGGACGACAAGTTCGTGCATAGGTATTATCCAACATCGAAGACTACAGAGATACAGCGGGAGATCACCCATTTCCGCCAGGAGCCAGATGAGTCTCTTCGTGATGCCTGGGAGCGGTACTCAGGGTTCTTCTGGCACTGTCCCCATCACGGTTTTAGTGA